AAAGAGTGGACAATCACAGGAAATAAACACACCATGTGCAATATTGAGCATAAGCCTTTAAGAATCTCAACTACAAAGGATTTGGGGAAAATAAAAAAAAGCACGAAACAAGTGAACAGATAAACAGCCTAGAATAAACACTTTTGCCCACCAGTCTATACACTTCACAATCTTACCACAAGGAGTCTACCCAAAGCAGGATAAATGGAACCAGACAAAAGGATCCCTATGAGTGTTTCACAAAGAATATTAACAAATTAGTTAATATCAGTCTATTAGGCATCAGACCCAGGGTCCACACGGCATAGTTTCAATCTCTTCTTCTTTAAACAATGCAGCTTAATATCCAAACAACTTCATTCTCAGGCCCCAATGAAAGCACAGACACCAAGCAGAAAATATCCTTCATTTCCATTTGAAAGAATGAAATGGCAACAAACAAAACTCAAGTGCAAACAAAAGGTAAATTCCTGTTGTCTATACCAGACATTTTACTGTATTTGAGTCCGGAACCATTTCCTAAAACATTCTAACAGTGAATTCTTATGCTGCTAGAAGGTGGTGAGAATGCTTAGTCCTGCTATCACTGCATGCTAATAGCTATTTTTAGTCCCCATCTTCCTTCTCTGAAAATTAACAGGACTCATCTGTATGAAGATGTTTATAGCTGCCACACTATTTCTGCAGCAAATCTTGATTTTATATTGCACATTTGCCATTTGTTAAATATTGCAAACTAAACAAGGCATCACAAATCTAGATTTTCAAATTGCCTTGTAATCTACTTTTGCGTATCTTTTCAAGACCATAAAACCTTTGAAAAGCTATTTAACTTTTGGAACCATCTTCCCTGCTGCCTGTGATATATCGTGTGTAGTATAATAGACTATACTACAAAAAGCAAACCAAGACTTTTACAAACTACTATCTTTAACTCCAAAAGAAAACCCACAAGGAACATCCCTGGAAAAAGAACGCTGAAGGACAAGCAGAGGCCTGTACCCCAGGTTCCCCTCTGCCCCCTCATGAGCTGTGTGCCTCTGTGTCGCTAGTTTCCTCATCTGTGCTTTGGGATTTTTCTTTTTATGCTATAAACCTGCTTAAGAAGACACCTTCCCACTGGGAACATAAAGACATCTTTCGAAGTCAGTATGACTACTTTATATCACCACCAAACCTCTATCAATTCATCAAACCTCATTTTCTGTTGCCTTTCATTTCTAGGGCACAGACTTCGATATTTAAATTATTGTCTCGATTGGCAAGAAGCAATCATTTCTACTGAAGTGATCGCTTCCACAGAAACACTAATAAAAACCTTTCCTTTTGACAAACATCTTGTCCTATAAATCCATCCCATTCCCAAATTACTGAGTCTATGTAAAAAAAAAAAAGCCCATTCTCTGGGGAGCGATTACCTCACCTCCATAATACACCAAAATCTTTTCCCAGTGTGTTTGTGAAAGTGTGGTAGTGCAGGGAGGGGGGTGGTGGGGGGGAATCAAAGGAAGACAGAGAAACTAAAGAGGCAATTCGGTTTCTGTTTAATTAATTCAGGATTACTTCATTTTCATTTTGTCAAGCTAATCATATACATGGTAAAATGTCAGTAAAAATTAAAGTATAAACTACAGTAGCTCCAACGGGAAAACTGACTCTAGTTACGTTGTATTTCCAACATACTTACCCTGATAAAATACCAACTGCATTTTTTCGTATCCTACAAGCTTCCTATAATCTGCATGGCGTGTATTTCCAGAGCAATAGTTAACATTTTGAGATTACATGTTAATAAATGAGTTGCAGTTATATTCTTTCCTGAATGTTAAGCACCATGAGCTAAATGCAGAAAACATTCAAGGTCAATGTCCCGTTTTAGACCTTTTCAGGCAGCTGTAATATTATGATAATCAAGCTTAAAATATTCCTATAGAAAGAGTAAATTAGCCTTTTCACTTGAAAGATGATTATGATAAACAATAAACCTAAGAGAGGACGAAATCCCTATTTTTAAAA